TTTATGATACGTTTTCTAACAAGGGACACGCACGATGTGTTGTTCGTGTTCAGGGTACCCACTAAGTTTTTTTTAGAATCTACTAGGACCCTTGGGGCCGATCCATTCTTATTTCCGTGTAAAATTTATATTTCCTGCCGTGCCGTCAAACTTAAAAATATGCATTTTCGACAAACTTAAAACCTCCATACCTTTTGAAGTTTCCGTGAGATTTTAAAAAATTTGTCGCGAATGTTGCGATTTTAAGAGAGCATTACAAATAACAAGTTTTGTTTGAATTTTTTGATATATTTTTAGCATTTTTCTACAACATAATCCCCATTTCCAAGAAAATTACAAAATTTTGCAGAAACTAAATAACGACATTTTTTCTAAGGGGCCGTCCATAAATTACGTAACGCAAGAGGGGGGGAGGGGGGGTCATGGGAAGAGCGTTACGAATTGTTATGTAGAGGGAGGGGGGTATAACAAATTTGTTACGTAACGCATTTCATAAACGCGATTAAAAATCGAATTGAACTCATGTCATCCAGAAGGTTTCAGTGTACGCATGTAAGTACGTTTTTCATTATGGTGCTCACATTAAAAGAAGAGCAAAATTCTTGCCTACTTGTGAACCATCATTCCTCCACAGTGACCTCGGAGGGCGATGGTGTGACGTAAGTTTCACGATTAATTGAGCCTTACCTTTAAGATGAGAATTTGATCGAATTTGCCGATCACCTGAGCCCCAACAAGGTCACTTAGGAGGCATGATGGTTGTCAAGAATTGTACTCATCTATTAATGGTCGTACGATAGTTTTCCGGGTGCAACTTGACAAAAGGTTCCATTGTGAGTCTTGGTAAACGTTGAGAGACCTGTAAGATTTACAATTTCCATTTCTTATATGATGATGTCGAATATGATTTCGTTGTTCTTGAACAAGAAATTCACAAAATTCTAATTTATCTAGCAATTTAAAAGAAATTGAAGCAATAAAAGCGACATTTGTCTACACAACCTGGAACAAATGAAAATTTTGCAAGTTACTGTTAAAGAAATTACCTGCGGTGAAATCAAATTTACGTTACGTTACGAAGGGGGAGGGGGGTAGTCGAGAAGCGTTACGATGCCGTTACGAGGGGGGAGGGGGGGTCTAAAAAATGATGATTTTTGCGTTACGTAATTTATGGATGGCCCCTAATTTCATGGCATACGAAAGTTGAACGGTTTTTAAATTTAAAATGTTCAAATTTTGCGAATATGACGCCACGGCACAATGCCAAAAATAAATTTCACATGGTGATAAGAATCTAGGGTCCAATTAGATCCCAAAAAACCTCCAAGGTACGCTGAACACGAACGACACAACGTGAGCGTTCCTTGTAAGAGAAACTGCCCAACATGCATAATTCTACTGAAATCTTACTCACTCGTCTGGCACCTGATTGGAACCTACCGACCGTAATTAACAGCTATTAGCCGTAATTAGCAGCTGTTGGCCGTAATTTCTAGCTATTAGCCGTAAATCCCAGCTAATAGCCGTAATTACCTCCCAAACTCGCAATTAACGGTGTAATTGATAAAACGTGGTAAAATTGTTTCCTACTTAAGAAGATCTTGGAACTCGTAATTAGGCAGCCAGGAATTTCTAATCACTTTGTTTAGATAATATTCAATACACATAGAGATACAACCCATTAATGTTTATTACAAATGCAGGTGCATTATGCACGTTGCATAATAAATAAACCATTGTGTCGCGTTTCAGCAAGTACATAAATAAACAATATGTAAATAACCTTACGTCAGAAAGCAATTATGATTTTAAATTAGAAATTTTAACACAAATCGTAACATACTCGCTTTCAATTTCATTTGCCAATGCAGATTTACTACAAAAGGCGAATTATGACGCTTTAAACGAATTCCCGCTTGAATATCTCTGGTGCAAATTCGAATTTTGAGCTGATTTTCGTAGGCAAGCAAGATAATATCCTCATAAACAAGTCTGCAAAGTTTTATTTGGATAGCTTAAAAAATGTCCCCTCCAGGGCCCTCAGAGTTGGAGGGTGCTGTAAAATAACTTTCCAAAATGCTGTTCTAATAAAATTGTGTCGAACGAAAGATTTTGTTCTGAGGTCCTAGTGCAGAAATTATTTTTGTGACTATTACCAAACGACTTAGCATGCTTTTCGCTATATAAAATCACTTTTGGCTCATGCTTATCTTTTAAGTCCGTTTTGTAGTCTAACTTCATACTTGTCCTAGTGGAATGCGCTCGCTACTCGTTCACTTTTAAGGCCCCCACATTTTACGACTTGGATGCTAAAAATTCCAAACGTTGTTTTTGTCCAAGATACAAATTGTATGTTGCACTGTAAGTACTTTTGACAAAATTTTGATAAGTGGTTACACCCCTAGAAATCAGTTCTTACCAAATCCCGTCAGTTTTGTAAAAAGGTTTGCCTCAAAATCTAAGCGGAACTTTAATTTTTTTTAACTAATCAAAATGAAGTGATTTTATTATTTTGCCACTTGTATTTTGTAGATAAAATAGTTCTGCGACAGAGGACACAAAAAAGTTATCAAAATTTATTTTCAACAAAATTTGACCATTCATTTTCCAAACAAGTTCACGAGTTTTTTCAGATTCCGCGTCAGCTGATTAGCTCGGGTCCTTCTCCAAAACTGTTTACCCAAAATGTTCACTGCTTAATTTAATATTTCTTAGGACACTTCCAGCTTTACCCTCATTCTTCATTTGACCCAGTGGGTCCGTTTTCAAGGTCAGCAGGTCAATTTTCCCGTGCAAGCTCGGATTGCTCGCTTTTTTGGGCAAAATATCAGCGATATTGGAGGGCCCACATTATTTGATTCATTGCGGATTCTTTCAGTACTAGATGCAATATTTATCTGGGGTTATAATAATAACAATTTGTCACCTCTGACCTCTTTGGTTATCATGCCACATGAATAATTAAGTTTGGAAAGTCATTTTACAGCACCCTCCAACTCTGAGGGCCCTGGAGGAGACATTTTTTAAGTTATTCAAATAAAACTTTGCAGACATGTTTTTGAGGATATTATCTTGCTTGCCTACGAAAATCAGCTCAAAATTCGAATTTGTGCTAGAGATATTCAAGCGGGAATTCGTTTAAAGCGTCATAATTCGCCTTTTGTAATGGTGAAAAGTAGGTAAATCTGGACAATATTTAAGAACAATGTGGGCCGAAAAGTTGAGCAGAGCAAATCCATTCGTAGATAGACGAAGAACTGAAATTAATCTTAACCTCAAATTTTGTTACGGTTCATTCGAAAAAAATGTGGCCTCCACCGAGTCAATTTTCTCTAAAAGGTTACCTGGCAGCTTTCGTAAGTTTAAGAAATATCTTAAACTTTTTTACTTTTGACACTGAAATAAAATTCTGTAATTGATAAAATAGTGACACACAAATTCTGCCATATATCCTTTTAGAATTTCTGGGGCCGCATTTTTCTCGGATGAACATTACATAGTGTTGATATTTTTGAAAGAAATCAATTAAAAAAGTATTATTTGTTTCCAAGTAAAATGAAGATTTGTGTCCTGATTTCATCCTACGAGGGGACAGGGGAAGAGTTTCGTGAAGTTCCACCTGATTATCAGCACCCCTCAATCTGGGCGTCTAATCATGATTTCATCTTGAAATACGTCACCAAGGAAGATGCCATTGAGCAGATTACTGAAGCCCTGGGGGACGGTACGATTTCATTTGGAATTTCATGTGGGGATTGGAATCCTATTCTGTTGCAGGGGTGGAAGAAACTCGATATTTGGAATCAGCGGGGTATCCTATGCTGGGAACATCGTCCAAATATAAACTGGAAATGTTTGTCTGCAACGGAAGTGAAAGTAATTTTCCGAAACGGAAGTGAAAGTGGAGAAAGTTAAGTTTCGGATGGCCCAAAACAGACATTTCCAGCTAATTTCATATGCAAATACCATAAAAATTAATTATGTGGAATTATGAACAATCCCACTAAAATTTCATGATAATCAAATAACCTCTTGCCCGGCGGGAGACGGGCTTAAACGCTAGTATTGTTACATGTGTGGAAAGACCTATTTTTATTGGGTAAAGTAAAATTTTACGCTCATTTTTTTTAAATCGTTGGTAACCCTGGATTAAATAAGCACGTAGCAACTCCAGACATTTTACAAATACATGCGCAGTCTCATGCTATCAATAAGATTAAGATTAAGATTTTTTTCATAAGAATTTGTCGATCGGAGCCACATTGTCAGCTCATTTTCTTGGAATGTATTTGTAACATATTTATTTATAACTAGGCGTTGGTTCCACTTCGTCACGGGTGCCCTTGGCGCCATCTGGTGGACTGGGGTAGTTGTCAATTCGCAGGTTCCCGACTTGGCTCCACTTTCTAACGTCTATAGAGTCATATAGCAAAGTATATTGGAGAAACAGGACGTGATTATACTACAAGAATTCAGGAACACAACCATGCCATTAGAAGTGGAAATGTAAGATTATCTCCTGTTGCTCTACACATGCATGAACATGAACACAATTTGGACCCAAATTCGTATAAATTAATTCCAAAAGAACCTAGAAGATATTTTCGGAAATTTAAAGAAGCACTGTTCATCAAAAGTACCACTAACAAGATGAATATTTCGAGAGGAGTCGCAGTCAACCCTATCTGGTCAAGTACACTAACAAACTTTTTAACATATACACAATAGCCCTCAAAGTCCACGTAAAAATTTATAAATGTAACCATGTAATTATTTGATATCAAACAAAACTTGACTTGGAGGAGGAATCGTACACATGAATTTTAGTTTACAAATATATTTTTGCCTGATGAAGAAATTCTGTATGAATATCGAAAGCTTGCAACAATAAATACTTCAAGTTAAAATGTCCTCTGATGCCGATGTAATGGATCAATATAAAAAAAAATGTTAAACGTAAAATGACGCGAAAATTGAATTTTAATAAATCAGATATTTCTTCTGAACAAAAATGTTTTTGAATTTTTTAAGTAGCTGTCAACTTCGAAAAGTTCAAAATTTGTGAAAACCAAATTGTTTGACTGGAGAAAGGTTTAGAATTCGCACCTCGACAAAATACAATTAGCCTAGCGTAAATCTGAATTTTACATGTTAAATCGTCAGGGTTGGCCAAGATATTTTGTTTCAAAGATACAAGATACAAAATATTTTGAACGAAACCCAAGATACAAGATACTAAATACAAATAATTAGAGTTACACAAGATACAAGATAAATTTTATCTGCTGTGATCCCAGATACACTCTTAGAACTGTGGTAATAAAAATGCATACTCGTTTACTACCGAGCGGTTGGTAAATATAGACTTTCCCGGAACAGTAATGAAATTGTTTACCAAAATTCATTATAATGCAAAAACTTTATTTATTATTGTTTGGTATTATCGGGAAAACCAAAGCGGTAATATAAAATTACCAAGTTATGTTAATTTAACACTGCAGTGAGGAATATGATTAATACTGCCTCGCATTGAATCTTTTAGTTTAATGGGTAATAAGTTCAAACTCTAATGCGGTGTAGTTTTAATACTACTCCGGTAAATATCTTTTGCAAACTCGACCCCGCAACATTCAAAACCACGAGGACTCGCTCTCCAGAAAATTTGTTCGTGCTTAGAATTCTTTTCGAGCTGGTTCTTAAAGGTAAATTTAAAGGTAATTAGATTAATACTAATTAATTTGTTTATGCCAAAGTGTAACTTATTCATTTTTAATGTACATAAATTTCACTTTTAGTCACTGCAAAGTTTGCTGCCAAACTGATCGAGCTATAACATATAATGGTGAGTTTGTTCTAAAACATAAAACATTGTTTATTGATTAGTTAACTACATTCGTTTTTCTTGTTCATTTAGTGATTCATCATTAATTCAAGATCAGAAGTCATTTGCTGAAACTATTGTTGACATCTTGCCGTTTTGGACATCTCCTGGGACTGCTCGTGGAATTGTAAATTTGAATTTTAATGTACTATTTATGAAATTTTAACTAATGAATACTGTGTATAATTTTGACATGCTTAAAAATATGATTTAATAAAATACTTTTGACGAATATTTACTAAATTTAGTTTAATCATTACCACAATAATAATTAATATTCCCCAAGGCAGTGATAGCATTAATACCAAATTATATTAAAAATACACCACGCAGTAATAATGGCATTACACAGTAGTAACCATTTATTACTGGAAAAGAGTTTTCGTTGTTACGCAGCAAAGCTGTTTTTAATACCTCGTTATAATGAATCAATCCCGGGTCAGTAACTTTGCAAATAGTTACCGCACGGTAAATAAAAAGTTACCAGGGCAGTAGAGTCACATAGATACTCCGCCCGGTAAACATTCTGGTAATGAAATTCTTAAGAGCGTACAAGATACAAGATATTTATTTGAAATAATTTTTTCAAGATATAAGATAAATTATCCGGAGCTTGCAAAAAAAACATGAAATAATGAAGCACCACTTGATTTTTTGTATTGTAGCCGAGTAACTTGTTAATAATGATAGTATACGACTTATAACTGGCATTGTAATTTATAATGCAAGTCCCTGTTTACAATTTATAAACAAATATGAGGATTTCATCTGTGGTGACCCATACTGATTTTTTTAAATTATTCTATGGAGCTGAAATTATTATTACCAGTATATTCAGTTGAAATTTGGAATAATTGCTCTAATGGTGGTACAAATTAGGAATATAATGCAAATTACAAAATTTGCCAACGTGCGAGGGTTTATTTACTGTGGATAAATAAATATTACGACGTTATACAACCGAACCTTGCGTCCGGCTCGGCAAAGCTGTACACTGAGTTTTTTAAATCTTCATAATTCCAAGTTTTAATACTACCAAATATGCAAGTTTCCCGGTTGTTCACTAAAAAAAGTATCGTGTATCTTGACTAGTATTTTAAATAAAATATGATTGCAATAAATTCTCCAGATACAAGATACAAGATACCAAATACTTTTGCGAAACGTTCAGATACAAGATAAACGATAAGATAAACTCCGTTACACAAGATACAAGATACAAGATGTATCTTGTATCTTTTATCTGATATCTTGTATCTTGTTAAATTATCTTGGCCAACCCTGTAAATCGTCACACTGTGAATGGGAAAAGTAACTTGAATTTTGGTACCCGTGATTTTCTATAAAAGGGTTCATTTTTGTGTCACAAATATTTCTATGTTAACGTCAAAGGCGCCGTTCGAAAAACGGGAATTTTCTAGAAAACTCATGTGTAAGGAATTTTTCGGGAATTTTTGGGGGCTCTTGAATAAATGTAATTAATTCAAGAATCCAGTTTATTCAAGATAGGATTTATGTACATGGTAGTGACATTAGAAATTCAATTCACGTGAAAATCCTCAAAATTTCAAAATTCCATGCTGAATCCGATAACTTAATTAGCATTGATTAATAGTGAAGTTGTGTATGTATGGTTTAGAGAAGTTTATTTCAACTTGCTTCAAAGTTTTACAAAAATCCCACGAACACATGATAGCAGTGGGGTTTTCAGGGGTTCGTTTACAACAACAACCACAAAAACTTAAGCCTATAAAAACCAGAAATGGCAGGCTCTACTCAAAAACAACTGAAAAATACCACTCATTGCTGTGGAATATTCAAAAGAACTTTACTTTAATCAGTTTCACTATAATTTTTTTACCACGATTATGCCAATAAATTACTTAACATATGATATAATCGTTGGCGCCCTCTGGCGCCCCTCGGGGCCTCAGCGCCCCGGGCAACTGCCCGGCTTGCCCGCCCCTCTCACGGGCCCTGTACGTGATTAAGGCAAAACGCAATCCATCAGTGAACTACTAGGTGGCCCACTGAAACTGTAAGTGAAATGAAACCCTGTGGCTTCAACAGTTTTTATGTTACGAATTTCGAGTTAATTTTAACCGAAAGCCAGTTAATTTCTGAGTAGAAAACAATTTTTAGTTTTCGAAATTTCCTCCCCTGCCATTAATGCAGCGCTGAGGAAACCGCCTGCAGTTCTCCGCTGAAGCACGCACTAATTCCTGGGTAAAGTGTTCCATTCCGTGGTCAAAAATTTTTTTCCGATGTCTACACTTCTACGAGGCTTAGAACACACATTTGCCCCTAACTTTGACCATTTTTCATAATCCGGAGATCCAAATCCAGAAAGTAGAATTACCATTTCCGAGAGGAGGAAAAGTTCGGAATTTTGTTTTTTACCCACGCTTGGGTCATTTTTTGCACTATAAGCTGATTCCTAGTCCTACTGCAAGGTCCAGTCGACTTCAATGAATTGGATCTCACTTAGGGGATGTACCGCGGACTCGAAAACGTATTTTAAGAAATTTGATCCCCCCACCTTCCCCCATTTTCAACAAAATGTAGAGAAATTGCCCCAATTAGCTCCCACCTGCCAAAATCATCACAAAGCTTGGATAATGTGGCTTTCTGGCCTTTTGTCTATATTGGGGGATGTCTCTGACAGATTTGGCGTAGATAAGGCCAACTCGCTTGTTAAAATATTTTTCCTATGTGAAAATCTCCTCATCTGTAAATAGAATCCTCGTCACTTTTTCTGAGCGTACCGCTTGAAGTCACTCCTGGGTTTCTTTAATCTGGTTTCCCTTTGGGGGATGGTCGGCATGTGGCAAGTACCACATTTCAAAGTCCTAAGTCTAAGGTTCAATTTAAGCACTCATTGAATAATCTGCTTCTACACTGTCAGCTGTGAGGTTGGTTTCCGTTGGAATTTCGTGAATTTCTTCGGATTCCATCCTTCAGCGCCTTCATGATGGGTGTGGTCCTTGTAGGATTTCAAAATTTTTTTCTTCGACTGTTGTTAGTCCACCCCGCCCCCATGAACGTCTTTATAGTCTGTTGGGCTAAATTATACGGCTCGTTCGATTCCTGCCACACTTTTAAAATTCGCCATTTCTCTCCCCATTTTTGTAATGAAAAATTTTCGCCGCCCGCTTCCATTCAACATTTTCCATGCGAATTTGCATTGCAAATAGTAAAAACCTGATTTAAGGTACTTATGCAAAATCGCACGGGGAATCCAATGCAATCATCAGATTTTCATTATCTCTGTCGGTTTCGAAGAAAACAGCCACTTACAGTTACAGTGGGCCCAGTATGTATGATTAAACAGAAAAATTATTGAAACTGTTTTTTACTTTTACAAGTTATTTTTTTTATTTGTTCTAAAATTATTTCAATTTGTTTAGGTAATATTTATCACAAGCGTAGCTGCTAATTATTCCATGATAGTTGCAATTAGTTCCAGCTATTTTGCAAATGAGCTATGGATAAAAGAGATTCACTAAGTTATCGGACCGCCACTTTAAACGCGCGCTAAGCGGGAGCAGATTGAAATTAAATTTCGAAAAAAATATTTTTGAATAGACCAAGTTATAAGCTTTCCATTGATGTATGTCACTAATTATTGAGTCATGGCTAAGACTAGAAAAACTTGGGTTGAAAGGCAAGAGTTGAAAAAAGAGTGATTGAGTTTCACAAAAATCGAACAAACTATGATTCTAAAATCACTTGGCACTTTTTCAACCAAGAAGGTATTCCTCATTCAAATGTCAACTCTTACATAAAAAAGTACGAGGAATCCAATGAACTCAAATTCAAAGTCCCTACTGGTCGACCTGCAAAGCTAGCGACGACAAAAGTCAAAAATCACATAAAAAAATCTTCAAAAATTATCCATCAACGACAATGGCTGCAGCGAAAGCAAGGTCAAGATTTCAAAAATCAATCTGAGCAAAATCAAAGTCCATAAACTGGGGATTATAGCCAGGGCAAAGAAACCAGCACCAAATTACAAACCAACAGAAAAGGAAAGGATTGATGCGAGCTGCCAGAAATTGTTGAACAAGACTTGGGGAAAAGTGGCCATCATGGACAATGAGCCCCATGTCACGGCTGACCATTCAAATCTTCCAGGAAGGTATTTTTTCCATAGTTCCAACCCCTGTGAAGTAAAATATGAAGACAAAGTCCAAAATAAAGACCAATTACCAAAAAAATGAAGAATTTGGCAACACATGTCTAGCATTGGTCATGTTTCTGATCCCGTCATTTTGGAGCGCACTGTAAACCATGAGATTTATCTTGAATCGTGCATTAAAGGGGGATTGGATTCCTTTATTACCAAGGATCATAAAAAAATAAAGTTTTGCTTTGGCCTGACCTCGCAACGTCCCATGACGCCAAAAAGGTCAATCAGTACCGACATCTGAAAAAAATTGAATTTGTGCCAAAAAATGGAAACCCACCAAATTTTCTTCAACTGCGACCAATTGAGAAATTCTGAGCGCTGACTAAGCCCAAATATTCTAAGCTTTTAGAAACAACAGACACCTTACGAAAATTTAAGAACAGATGGAAGAGAATCAGCCTGAAAGTAGGTGCAGTCTATGGGCGGAATTTGATGCGAAATCTGAAGAAGAAAATGCAATCTGTAGCAGACAGCGGAATTGAATCATTAAAATTTGAACTGTATGGCAATTCAAACCCTTTGGTAGTAAACATATGCAATTTTTTTGAGATTACATCAACTGTGTGTAAAGTTCTGAGCATTTGATTGCGGCGGTCGGATAACTTCTAAAAACTACCTAAGAAAATCAAAGAATAATAAGTTAATATTAAGATATTTTGAGGTTTAATATCTTCAACAGTTCGAAAGAACAATTCTGATAAAGGAAGTTTTGAAGTCCTTCAATTAAGCGATTCCAGACAACTTTAAAGTTCCACAATTTTACAATACAGTCATTTTTTTGCATAGTCCGAGTCACTAACGTTAACTTTCTGGGCGAAATATGCGTCGCTGAATATTTTACGCATTTTCATCGTAATCCGCAGCCTTTTCTGATGATGAGTGAAGTTCTAATTTCTAGAAAGTGATTATTTTAAAGCCGACAGCAGAGTTTCTTCGAACAAATTTTCAAATGAGACTTTGCAAAACCCTTCGAAAAATTTGTATGGTTATTAACAAAAGTGT